ATACCATTTTATAATTTTATCCAAAATAAAGCATGAATAAAGAATAGTTATTACAGCCTTGACAAAATACTTCATCTTTGACAAATATGAAGACTTTATCAAGAGATCATCATCACATACAACACATCATATTATAAACATTTATTGGGAGGATGGTCACTAAGATTGAGTTACATCAAATCACTCCCTTTGTGCTTACATATTTGAATGAGCCACACCCATCTCTCATGTTTCATACTCAGGATTAAAGCCCTCAATCAAACCACATCTCCATATGTATCACTTCCTCAAGTAGTTCATACTCAAGCACAATGAGGCACAAAAATACAAGGTATTTAAAACCAGCCCTTTCAAATTTGTTAGCACCTATCACCTAATGTTCATGCACTCCATATATATTCATAAAAAAAATAGCCAAAAAAACCAAAGAAGTATATGAAACTTAAAAATAAGGGTTAATGAATCATCTTTCCCTATATGACATTACCATGTAATGTGAGATAGATTTCATACCTCAAAACTATATAGTGTGGTACCTGGGCTTTCTTGATTCTTTTCATTTACTTGCTGACGAGCTTTTGCGAACTTGGAAGAGCATACAACTGATTGAAAAAACACTTGGTCATCATCTTTTATTCGTTGATGAAGCATCCACCTCTTCGGCCTTTTAGAATCTCCCATACATATATAAAAAAATATTTTTATTCATTCTATCATTTCAAATATCACAAATTTAATTCTCCCACTGATCTTTAGATTTTCTATGTTGCCACCAAGTATTTCTACATATCCCTTCATTGCAAAGCAATCAAAGTACTTTCACATGCATTGTGCGTCTTCTATATTACGCAATTGCCAAATTCACTTCTTCACATAGAGTGTCATATCTTATCAACCTTATATTACCTCTCTCTGAAGTTTTATTGTTATAAACCATACTCATGGCACATTATAAAACTTTTGAATGACTCCTAAAAGTGCTTCAATTATGAAGAGTACAAATATGTATCCCAACATACCACATCTTTTAATTTACTGCAGAATAGAAGATGAGCATCCCATGATACAAATACGATATCTTTCAACTCATGAAGAGTTACTTGAATTAGAAACAATGAATTTTTCAGATCCAATAGCAATATTTGTATCGCCAACATGTGAAATAGTTAATTGGTCATCATTCTCAACCATGACTATATAGGTGCTCTATAGGGACAAAGATTTTATAACTTACTTTGATCTCCTGCCATATGAGGGGAGGCATCTGTGTCCAGGAACCAGTTTAAGTCTTGTAAATGTGGTTGAATCAATGTCAATACTTCAATGCAGCATGCCCAAGTTTCTCAAAAATTTGATACTTTCTCGAGGTGTCTGCGGTGATAGTTATATTTGGGAATCTTGTGGGAAGCCTTGATTCATGTGTCACATAGTAAGTGTACCACTACTTTCTTGATTTTTCTAGGGCACTCCATGACCCACATTACTGATCTGGTTTGTTTGAACAAACCATCGTCCTTGAGAGTTAAAGAACTGTTGACCACGACCGATATTACAAGCCATCGTCCTTGAGAGTTGAACAAGCCATAGTCATTACTACAAGGGCATGAGGAATATCTTCTGCTTCGTACATGTGGTTGAATCAATGTCAATACTTCAATGCAGCATGCCCAAAATTTGATTCTTTTCTCGAGGTGTCTGAGCTGATAGTTGTATTTAAGAATCTTGTGGGAAGCCTTGATGCATGTGTCGCATAGGAAGTGTACCACTATTTTTTTGATTTTTCTAGGGCACTCCATGACCTACATTACTGATCTAGTTTGTTTGAACAAGCCATCATCCCTGAGTGTTAAAGAACTGTTCACCACCAAAGTTGTTTCTCCCTCTACCTCTGTAATTCGGATTACCTCTTTTGGGTACAATTTTTTTTTGTTTTCTAACAAAGGCCATATTCCAATTTAGATTTGAGTGTTCTTCAGAGACATGGGATGATTTCTAATCTCATGGCTTTGAAAAAGAGGTATAATTTCATAATATGCAGGAATCAAAGGCTTAAGCATAGTGGTAGCAAAACTCTCATATTTTGGACCAAGTCCATTTAAAAGCCAAAATGCCTTAGTTTCATCTAATACAAGTTTCTCATTAGCCAACAAATCATCACAAATACTTTTGAATTTGCATATGTATTCTGATAGTGAATTCCCTTTCTTGCAGGGTTGGAGTTGCTGGGTAAATTGGAACTCCCTAGCTTGAGAATTACCTGCATAGGTATTCTTCAGGCGTTTCCAAACTTATTCAGAAGTCTTGAGGCCAATAATAAGGCCGAGACACTCTTTTGATAATATCCATGTGATCCAGGCTTTAAGAAGCAGGTCAGACTTTAACCATGATTTGTAGTCTAAGTTTTCGATTTTACTTTTACCATCAAGAGATGAAATCTTATGACTTAGTGTAGGGCAATCACCATTAATAAATTCAAAAAGTTCCAGACTCTCAATGAGAGAGAGCATTTAAATTTGCCATAATACATAATTGTTATTATTACGTGTGAACTTAATAGACACAAAGTTTCCTAAAATAAGGGTGGAGGAATATGGATACTTAAACATTGAAGATTATAATATTCATTGGAGCAAAGAAATTTTTTTGCATAGGACATAATTTTTTTTTGCCAAGGGATGAAATTTGCAAATGCCAAGTTTTTGCAAGATGAAAAATTTGCAAATCAATTGAAATTTGCAAGGGAAGAATTTTTCGAGAAAGAAGGTGGAAGGGAGAGTTAGTGTTTGATTTTTAGAGAGAGCGGAGTGTGTGTGTGGAATGATGTTGTAGATGGTGTAAGAGGATAGAGAAAGTATTTTATGATATGGGTGTATGAAGTTGGGATGATATGGATGCTATCGAAGAGTGACATGAAGACAAAAACATGGAAATAAGTCTTTTAGAGAGACATGAAGACAATGCAAAAGTAACACAATGCACTAACCTTTTGAGATGAAAAAAACGTTACTGTTTCATATGATCTGCATCGGAATTTACCCACTATCGACTGTACTTTACGATTGCATAGCAAGCAACAATGGCTCTGATATCATGAAGACTTGAGAGAGAGAAACTTTTCAAGAAAATAATTGTCCCATACTAATCTTGTGGCGTTTTTTTTTGTTGTATTTATAATAATAATACAATGGTATATATTGTACTTTCTTATCTTCTTATATGCAATATACATTTTTCTATCTTGTTACTTTCTTATCTTTCTTATTTTGTTATAATTTTTGAATTTTGTTTCTATTAAGCCTGATCCTAAAAAATAGGGCCACAAAAGGTGGACTGATGCAGGGCCGGGGTTGTGCTAGGGCTATGACATGGTCAGTCTGGTTCGGCCCCTTCTGGCCTTTCTTTGTGTATGATTTTTTATTTTGTTATTGTTGAACTTTATTTAGCACAACCTGGCTTTGATAGGGCTATGGCCAAGACATGGCCAGCTTGGTTCTGCTTGGCCCGACCCTTATTTCTATGTCATTCTTATTTTGTTGTTGTTTAATTTTATTCAGCCCCACCCGGCCCTTATTTCTATATCATTTTTATTTCACTGCTGTTTAATTTTATTCAGCCTTGCCAGGTCCGACCTGACACTGATATGGCCAAGGCTAGACCTAGGCCAACCATCAGGGGAATAGGTCTAGCCTTGCCCGCCCTACATCTATGGAACATTCATGGATACTCTACGCGTGGCAATGGACCCGGACCCAATGCGGAACCCGAGGGGTAGACCTGATTCGGGTCTAGATATAGGTCTAAAAGTTGAATTCAGAGGGTCGGGTCGGGGTCCGGATCCGGTAATATTTTTTGAATTTCAATATATGAATATATTTAAATATAATTATATATATATAATTTTTGGGTCGGGTCTTGTCCGAGTCTGGGGCAGACCCGACCAGAGCCGTTGACACGCGTAATATTACTCATCGACGGTCAATTGCTTAACCCACATGTGGCATACTCGCAAAGTGCTTGGAACCCAAATGCTAACGAACTCTTTTTGAATATGGTACTCTGCAAGCTCTCATTATCAACTCAACCATGGGCCCAATTGGTTGCTTGCTTTTGAGCTGGTCCACGAGTGCCTCTCACACAATAACGATTTTGACCTTTAATCATTTCGAATATATATGATCAGTACAAACGCCGCTGGCCGCGATCATAAATGACATCCAATTTATACACGATTCACTTCATTTTATTGCTTTCATCAAGGGAAATGTTTATATAGAGCCAAGGCTCTAAACAATCACATTCGAGCCTTTTTAAAAAATTTCACCAGACAAGATTGTTTTGATGTTAAAAAAATCTTCAAATTGATCATCTCGACATCAAGATACACGGACATGAGAAAAAAATTAATTTCAAGTTTTGGAAAATGTATTTTGTAATGCATTTTTTGATCGTCAATTTTCAAAATTTTAAAGTTTTCATAGATCTGTCGATCTAAAACATTTTTTAAGCTTTAAACTTTATAAATAAAAATAAAAATATATTTTAAAGCTATCACAAAATTTTCAATATTGGAACCACATTTCTCGACGCTATTTAAAGGTAGGCTCTAATCTATACAAACCACACCCTTTCATCAATGCTTCTTCAACTTTGACTTCAATAATGACCTAAATAACCCCCAAGAGGGGCTGGAAAATGCCCTTATTAAATTCCAATTCTTTGCTTATAATGCTGTCGTTTTTATTCCAGCACAACGAAACTGTTGATTTTTGAACTTTGAGTCCCACTCACTACCATTAAATTTGAAGTTTGAGGGGCATGTGACTTCAGTTAGAATAAGTTGTGAACTTTTTTTTTACTTATATTGCCCCTATGTTATTTGAGCACCAAATCCTATTGAAGGGTATTTGTGACTTTAACTTTAAATTTTAAAAAATCGTACTTAATAAATTTTGAATTTCAAAATTTAAACATCCACTCACTCTCTTCCCTCTGACACGCATTCTATTTTTTCTCTCTCCTTACCGACCCCCATCTTTTCTCTCTTGCCCTCCCCAGCCCTCTCTCTTTTCATCAGAAAAAATGCCAAAATGTCAGGTTAAAAATGGAAGTGATCTTCTGCATATATTTTTTTCTTACAGATGGACACCTTAGTTTTTACCTCGAGAAAAGCCTAATTTTCACCTTCATGTGATCCCAGCTATGGAGATCTCCAATCACACGAGGTACGAATGCCACACTCAATGCCATTTCTTTTATTTTCCATTTGTTTTATTTTTGAGATTTTTTTCTCTAGAATTTACTCTGTTGATTCTTGGGATTTTTTTGTTGCTCTCCGATCACACCAGGTAGAATTTATTTTTTGAGATTTTTTTGTGATACAGTCACAATAACTGAACATGTGGTATATTTAATTATCAAAGCTTGAAAAACACTTACTCTCTCTAAAAGTTTCTTTTGGATCTCACCAAGAATGAGACAGGGCACACAATTTTCAGCTTGCTCCATCTCTCTCAACGAAAGGCTCTTAGTGTGGTACTTGTGCATTTATTTCTTGGATACGATTGATTCAATTTTTTAGAAAGATGGACCTTTTCTAAATTTATATGCCTTCTCTGTGAGCTCCAAAAGTAATTTTTAGAGAGAATAAGTGATCTTCAGGCTTTGGTAACCAAATATACCACAATTTTGATTCCAATTTTTCTTTGATTCCCAATATTCTTTAGAGTAAGTGTTCTTCAGAGTTCAAATGTTTGAAAATATGCCCCCAGCCATTTTTCATGTTTTGATTCCAGTTTTTCTTTGATTTTGTAATTCTTTTCATACTTAGAGGATAAAATTTTGGATCAAGTGAATGATTAATTGTTATTTTCAGTATAAGAATTATTGGATGATAGGAAAGGCCGGAGTAATAGTTTTGTTTATTTGATGATTTCTTATTCTTTTCATAGCTAAAGGATTAAATTCTATTGAGTAATGATTTTATTTGTTTGATCAATTCTCTACCTTGCTAGACTTGAAGAGTTAGGATCAAGAATTGGGTGATTCACAGCTTAGTCTACGTATTTTGAATGGGGAACTGTATGGGGCAGTGAGAGTAGAGCCTCTGGTTTAAAGTGTGGTGGTTAAGATATTTGGTTTCAAAGCCATAAAGTAGAAGGCACGAGAGCTTCTCGCTCATCTATTTTCAAGATGGACAGATGAAATAATTTACTGTCTTGTTTACTGTGTAAGCAATTATTTGACACACTTTTCAAAGATACAAGAAGAAATTATTTTATCTTTCCAATATTTGACATCTAGAAATGATGATGGAACCTATGAAGTGACACACTTTTCAAAGAAAGAAAAAGGGCGAAAATTTTCTTTGATGGTTGAAGATAATGTTATGAATTGCAGTTGTAAAGGGTTTGAGTTTACATGCATCATTTGCAGGCATTCTCTTCATGTTCTCTTCAAATAAAATTTTATTCAAATTCCAAACTGATATCCGCCAAAACGTTAGAGGCACTCTACTTCATTGATATCAGACATTAGCTCGAGCACATTAGCTGCCTATGTTGAGCATGTCCAAACTATACAATCATTAACATCAACAATTGGTACAAAAGGTGCAAGATTTGATGATTGTTACAAGTTCATTATGGAGCAATTTTCAAGAATTTTGGAACATGTTGAAGAAATAGAATGCATGAGGTCTCCTATGGTTGATGAAACATCTAATGCAAGTCTAGCAACTGAAGAGGATGAAAATAGACTTCATTGTGAAAGCATCCATGTAAAAAACCCTGTTCGGTCTATCACAAAAGGGCGGCCTCCTGGAAAAAGGTTAAAGTCCTATGTTGAAGTTGCTAAGAAACCTAGATATTGTAAAGTTCCTTCATGTGACCAAATTAGCCATGATTATAGGAATTGTCCATTAAGAAGAGGTTAATTTAGTAGGTAATCATTATATGTTAGAGAACACTATTCTTGGTGTAATGTTGACACAATTTTAGGGCTAGAAATGCTGCTTTGCATATGAGATTTTTGAGCATTTACATGTGACAACTTTGTATATGTAATTTTGGAGTTGTACATAATGATTATTGTAAGGTTGAAATGTGGATGCAAATGTAACGAATATATTTTTACTTGATTAAATGCTCCATCTTTAGCTAATTCACTAAATAGGATTTCAAGTAAAGCATCACTCTTTATTCCTTGTGAATGTATTGGGGCAGAGACCGCATTTTTCAATTTGATATTGAGGCAGGCACAGCAGGGCAGCAATGCTTAGGTTCTTTAAACTCACAGGATCATAAGGGCACAACAGGGCATTAATGCCATTCAAACATATATGTCACTTTTCTTTTTCTTTTGCTATTAAAATTAATAACCTGCCTGAACAACAAAGAAAATAATGTTTGATGCCAACAAGAAAGCAAAGAGAGTAACAAATATGCCATAGAAAGTGGACTTTGGATGTATAGGCTACCCATTTCTAAATAGGATTTCAAGCAAAGCATCATTCTTTGTTCCTTGTGAATGTGTTAGGGCAGGGACTGCATTTTCCAATTTGATATTGAGACATGCACAACAGGGCAGCAATGCTTAGGTTCTTTAAACTCACAGGATCATAAAGGCACAATAGGGCAGCAATACATTCAACCATATAAGTCACTTTTCTTTTTCTTTTGCTATTAAAATTAATAACCTGCCTGAACAACAAAGAAAAGAATATTTGATGCCAACAAAAAAAGCAAAGAGAGTAACAAATATGCCATAGAAAGTGGACTTTGGATGTATAGGCCACCCAGTTCTCCATGTATCATAAACAATAGAAGATAACATTCCTCTTATGTACCTATGGAAGATATTACAGAAAAAGAACACACACACACACATGTATCCCGGATGTCATTATTCTTTTCATTATCTACTCGGATCATCTTTTACATAGAAAGAAGACCAAGAAAGGTTCTATGAACAGTTAAAACCCATGCTCCTCAGATATACTTGGTGGATGTTTACATAAAACCTCCTTATACATAAAAAAAGAGTAAAAATATAACAAAATAAGAGAGAGACCTTTAAGTATGCAACATCTCTCTGCCCAAGCTCTTTCAACTATTGATTGAGCCGAAGCACCTCTGGGGACATGTGATAACCCTCTATGGGGCACCAACTCCTTTGTTTCTTTATGTCATTATTTGATAGTTTTTTGTTTTGAGTTAATTGGTTTCTTCATCAGATAAACCATCGTCTTCTCCATCGCTATCTCCATTAACAAATGTTCGAGTTTTTCCTGGATATTGAAGCGGACCTTGAGGAGAACCAGACAGTGAGGAAGCACTTTTGTTCACAAGTTAGTAGCCTTGTGAAGAAGAACCAAAAGCAGTAGAAGAAGTTTGGCTGTATAATTTATCATGGGGAACCCAAAGGTTGCTCAAGAGAAGTGCTTATGTCTTTTTCTCATCATTGGTTTGATGCTTAGCTTGAATCTGGGTTTGTCATAGTGACAACTCTCATATGGCTTGGATACCTTGATGACTCCATCGAGCATGCCAAGAAAACGACGGCATTGAGCATGCCCATAAAACCAAGCCTAACCAAGCTTCGCCGCATCTCATTTTCACATTCCAATCCCCTGTTTTTTCGTGCCCAACGCATAGAAGGAATCACATATAAAGAAAAAAATAAACTTTGTGCTTTGCGAACATTCCCTAATGCTTTCTTTATTGAACATGAATCCCAAATCTTGTATAGAACTTGGATATATAAGAATTTGAATGCTATATGAAACTTATGTTTTTTTTGGACCACTAAAACAAAATCTGGCTTTGTTATTCATAACACAAGCGGTTCTTCATCAACATTGTAGAAAGTAATTACCAAGAGAGCACAAGTTACATGAGATGAAATACATACATTTTGAGAGAAAAAAAGAGGCATAGAGAAAGGCGAGTATGGATGCCACATGCAGAAGTTTCACAAAGATTTCTCATAGACCACAACAATTCCTTATTTGAGTATCTCATTTTTTAGGATTAGTTGGAACCACGTCTTCAATAACACATACATCTGGCCTCTTTGAAATGAACCTTCTAACCACAAGCTTTGTTTATTTTCGTATGATCTAATTGCACCATACGAGCTTAACCTCTTTCAGACGAAGCTTCTAACCACAAGCTTTGTGTGCTTCCCAATGATCTCATCACAGTATACTAGCTCACCCGCATCCAGTCTCTTGGTCGTTCAAACCGTAAGACACAATGCATTTGAGTTTCATTTTAGTAGAACCTAGAATACTACAAATTAAGTTTATGAGTCTTCAAATTGATCATCTCGACAGCAAGATGCATCAATATGGAAAAAAAAAAAGGGATTTCAAGTTTTGAAAATAGTGTATTTTGTAATGCATTTTTGAAGAATTAATTTTCAATATTTTCAAGTGTTCATAGACCTATCGATCTACGCTATTTTTGAAGCTTTAAACTTTATCAACAAATATAAAAATATATTTTAAGGCTATCATAAATATTTTCAGTATTAAAACCACATTTCTCTAAATTAGTTCATCGTATGGTCACGATTGTCCAATAGTGTTTCATTTTTCATTTTTTTTTTTTTACAAATCAGAATGATTTAAAATTTAGAGAGTGTGTACATATTAGTGAGGTACACCTAATAAAAATATAAAAAAATAATTCGTTAAAATAAAAATGACCAAAATACCCCCACAATTTTTCAGGGTTGTTTTTGTCAATTTTTTTATGTAAAATATTTTTTTTATACTTTTTGTAGATTCACATATTTTTGAGTAATACACAATCCAAATTTCAGGTCATTTCTATTTGTAAAGAAAAAATGAAAAATAAAATACCGGACAATCGTGACCGTGCGATGAACTTTGGACGGTGATGAGGGTAAGCGAAATCAATGTTTATTTTTGCCTATAGGAGTTTTATAGTATATTCCATATATATAGAAAAATTTTATGTACACCCATATGCGTTTAGCTACAGTAAACACTCAATGGCCCAGATTAAATTTGGGCCGATCTGACAATCATGGTTGTCTGAGAGTATTTCAATTCTAAATTTTTTTCTCCAAATCAGAATGATCTGAAATTTGGAGCATGTGTACATCTTAGTGAGGTACACCAAATAAAAATACAAAAAAAATAATTTGAAAATAGAAATTGACTAAAATACCTTTGAAATTTTTGGGGGTATTTTGGTCAATTTATTTCATGTAAAATAATTTTTTTATATTTTTGGTAGATTCGCCTATTTTTGATGAACACACGCTCCAAATTTTCAATCATTCTGATTTCATAAAATATATGAAAAATGAAACACTACTAGACATCGTGATCGGCCCAGATTCGATTTGGGCCGTTCCGCGTTTACTGTAGC